ATTATTTTTACAGTTTATTAATGTCAAGTTCCATAAAGCTAAGTACCTGTACCTTCACACATGATAAAATCAAGTAAGCCTTCTCATCTCTGACCTTCAACAACTCCCAGAAGAACAGTAATGAGAGCTTCAACCAAAGTTGAATATCAAAGGAAATTGAGAAAGGGACAGATTTCACATGAATTTTCAAGGATAGAATCAACAAGACTTAATCAAAATACAAAATAACGAGGGAAACAGGACAGAGAAGCACAGTTGTGGTCAGTTTCATACAGCTAAGGACTCACCCACTTAGCCCTAAGAACTAAGGCATTAATAAACTCTAGGAAAAGAATTTTCAATTTAAACCAAAATTCAATTCTGTCTAGACTGAACTGATCATAATGTACTTCTCATAAAGGTGTCAGAAGCTGCATGATCGTTTCTTTTGGGGTTGTGAATATAAAATTAATGAGAATATAGACAATGTCTATGAGCTCATTTATCTCGAGACCTTAGAGATTTGGAGAAATCAATTTCATAACACTGAGTCTGTGAGCTAAAAAGTGCAATGACAATGCACACTATAATGTCTTTGACTCTACATGTACATGAGATAGTCTTAAAATCTGGCAGATTTTCAACAAGACACTGATGGGGTTGGTAGTTCAGAAAGTGGGAATGGAGCGCGTGTCACTCATCCTACAGGAATGACTAGGGGAGCTCTCCTCCAAATCATAAGGAAACTTGCACTCTGCCTGCCTTTCACGAGTTGCCTCACTGCAAAGTCTCTTCCCGATGGGATCCTATCCCATAAGATCAACACAACCCTCCTGCTGGTTTTACTGCTGAAAACAGACCTTCACTCCTTGTGGATAGAAATAGGAGGGGGCAGCTTTCAGTCTCCCATGAAAGACCCTCAGAACTGCCAGGGTTGTTTAACATAAAATGCTTCATCTTAAGAGGTAGTGACTTTCCTGCCACCAGAAACAACCAGGAGAGTCATTGGCCCAAATAAGATGAAGAAATTAAGTATATTGTTGTTGTCGGATCTGATGAAAATTTACAATGTATGTTAGAGAAGTATAGAAAAAACAAAGATGAAAAATTAGAGACTGATGGAAGATTTTACAAAGGATAACAGAATCTATAGCTTCAAAGGGCAGGACTCTTTGTAAGCTAGCATATAAGTCTTCATCTAAGGTATGTACCATTGGCATCACAATATGAAAAATATTGAACATAACAGTAAAATAAACAGAAAACCCCATAAAATGAGAAAATAGACATTAAACAGTAAGAATTCGGTACTGCCCTTTCAAGAATTATTACACAAAGGCTAGTTCTTTACTTGCTGGTCTCCAGTTCAGCTGGAATGACTTATTCTCTCTTTCTGTGTTGGTAACAGTTTTTCAAGTAATCTTATTTTAAATTACATTGGATATCTTCCATATTGGCAGTATTTATGGTATGGGGAGTACCAATGCACCATGCATAGACAATTTTTATTGACCTGGCTCCTCTCCCTCTTCTTCTTAGTTTTTAGTTCCTACTTTCATTTTTATGTATCCCTTGTGGAAGATTAATTTTTTTAAAATACCACATTTTGTTACACTGGGATTATGATAAACAGAAATTTACAATCCTCTGTAAAACATTAAAATGACAGAAATATGATTAGAAAGAAGAGCAAAATACAATAACACTTTATATAGCATATGAACTTGCTTTCTCCACCCCTCCCCACGTCTTTCCTTCCAATTATAGGGTGGGTTGAGCATCTAACATGCTAGATTCAGAGTGCCAAATGGACAAGGCAGAGCAGGGTTAAGAAGACTGGCAGAGGATAGGTAAAGGTGCATTACTGAGCTATAAAGAATAAGAGACAAATTACTTCATATGAAGAAGAAATTTAGGGGCTGGGGGCTGGTGCATACCAGGAGGTGGAGATAGGAGAATTGCAGTCTGAGGCCAGCCTTGGACAAAAACTCAAGATGCTATCTGTGAAAAACAAAGTAAACGCAAAAAGGGTCGGGGTACGGCTCAGGTAGCAGAGTACTTGCGTAGCAAGCACATGGTTCTGAATTCAAACCCCAGTACCAATTACCTCCCCCAAGAAAAGAAGAAAATTTAAAATTATATTTTTAAATGAAAAAAAAAGTCATCAACTCTATGGGATATGATGTAATGATTTGGCACAGAGAAACAAAAACCTTATGATCTCACTTACTGTAAGATCATATAGTAAATGACTATAAGTAAGTGGAACCCCCTAGCAGTGGAGAATGGAATGACAGCTCCCAGAGGCCAGGGAGGGGGAGCAGGGGAGTGGAGAGACATTGATCAGTGGCTACAAAGTTACAGTTAGATAGGAGGAATGCTTTCTGGTGTTCTATTGAACTACAGGGTGACTGTAGTCTATAATAATAGTAACAGTAATAATAATAATAATGTATATTCCAAAATGAAGACAAAATTTAAGACTTTCAAGGCTAATAAAATGCCAGGAACTTTCAATTTAAGCCCGAGCACACAAAACAGCTAGAAGTTATCAAGCTTGCAGCAAGAAAGCTGAACAAACTGTGACAAACTTTTAATAACAATCGGAGAATGGAAGTCACAGGGCAAACTCTCACCCTGATCTGGGAGGACAAGCAGTATAGAAACTCACCACCGCTGAAGAGCTTACCTGGAACAAACACAACTGGAACCTTTCACTGGGAGAAGCACGTGAATGGTAACAGCGAGTGAAGGCTAGGTTAGTAATGAGAAACCAAGGCTTGAAGGCCAAGTCTAAGGGGCCCCCAGTCATGTAGATTTTTACCTCTAGAAATTCTAATAGATCCCCCAGTAAAGATCAGAGAAAAATCATCTCTTGTTTCTGGAAGGGAAGAGCAAGGATTTTAAAATGCACTCCAAACATTTGTCTTACCAAAGTCTTCTGGAAAAGAATTTGCTAGATCCTTACCCAACCTAGAAGAGCAATTACTCAACTCTAGCCCCCTGTAGACTCCCTATCTCAGCTGGGGAGATTCCAGCCCAGGACTACAGACCCACTAAAGGACTGAGATTTAATCATACAATTACAGAACACTTTCCCTGCCCTCACCCTCATCCCTAGTATCAATAGGGCTCCAGCATAAAAATAGTGAATCACGTGCTAAAATGCAGCAAGATACTAACAAGGTGTTTTCAAGCAAACCCAAAGACAAAAAAGGAAACAAAAAACAAGGAGAGGAGAGGAAACTAAAACTCCTGGCATGTACAAATGTCGCAAATATTTTCGACAGAAGACAAATCCTCTACTAAAGGCTATTTACCTAGTTTTCACTGCACCATGTACAGTTTTAAGAATAAATTACAGCTCAAGAAAACAGGCAAGAAAAACATACAGTCTGAAGAAACAGATCTTATACAGGTGTTAGAATTATCAGATTGGGGTTTAAACAATTAGATTAATTTAGATTACCTATAATGTATGAAAACTCAGTCACCAAAAAATTTTAGAAGTATAATTGTATAGTAAGAGAGGGAAGAAAATTGAACAATATAAAATGCTGAATTTAAAACTAGAGTGAAAGAGAAGAGAAAAGGAAAAAAAGTGAAACAAAAAGAGTTATAAATATAGTAGAAATTAATTCGGCTAGATCAATCATCACATTAATTGTGAGTGACCTAGTCGCACCAATGAAAACAAACTCCATTAGAGTGGAAAAAAAATAACACCTAAGGATATATTGCCTATAAAAAAGAATCTTACTTTAAACATAAAAACACAAATAGATCAAAAGTAAAAGATAGAGAAAGATATACCAAGATAACACTAATCAAGACAAAACTGGGTAGCTATATTAATTTCAGAAAAAAGCAGAGTGCAGAGAAGGAACACTGTCAGAAATAAAAAGCAGTATTACATAATGATGACGGTTAATTCTCCAAGAGGACATAACAATCCTTAATGTGTACGCATCAAACAACAAACCTTCAGTAATATGTGAGGCAAAAGCTGATAGAACTGCAAGGAGAAACAGAACAACATAAGACCACGTCTGTACACTTCAACACAGCTTTCTCAGTAATCTACAGAACATCTGGTGGAACATTAGTAAGGAAATAGTTGAACTATATAGCACAATCAATCACCTTGATCCAACTGACATTTATAGACTAACCTACAACAGCAGAACATATAGTCTTCTCAAGTTTGCATGACCAAAAATATAACTGGATAAATTTTTAGATAAAATCATACAAAGTATATTATTAAATTAAACTAGAAACCAATAAAAATGCAAGTGTGGAATGCCAAAATATGGATATATAACAGCACACTACTAGATAACACATGATTCAAGAGAAAAGACTCAGAAGAAATAATGCAAATTTTGAACTGAAAATTTGGTATAAAAATTTGTGCATTATGCCAGGCACCAGTGGCTCATGACTGTAATCCTAGCTAGGCAGGAATGTCATAGTTTGGAAGCCAGCCGGGCAAATAGTTTGCAAGACTTTATCTTGAAATACCCATCACAAAAATGGCTGGCAGAGTGGCTTAAGTGGTAGAGCACCTGCCCAGCACCATGAGGTCCTGAGTTCAAACCCCAGTACCACCAAAAAAAAAACCCAATGGGTTTATAGATAAACATATTTGCAGGGAATTTATAGTATTAAAGCATCTGTTAGGTAAAAAAAAAATCTAAA